ATAGCTTGGACAACCGTACAGTTTTAGAATTTTGAAATTAGGTTTCACCCGACATATAATAAATAAATATAAAACCAATTTAGATAAAATCAGATGGACCAATAACTAAATGATCCATAGATAAACTCAAGTTGATTTTAATAGAATTTTTAAGAGGAAAAGACATAAAAGAAGATGGACCAATAAATAATTGATCCATAGATAAATGTTAACCTGATGACAAAAGAACATATCACAAGTCATAAATTGCAGTCATAAAGTAACAAAATAATATGTTTGTTAAACATAATTAAAGTGCTCATAATATTCTTTCTAATCAGAGAAAGTCCTTCGATGCTGCTGAACGTAGGTTGTAACGTTCCATGATCTCAGTGGTTGCCTTTTTAGCAGCTTCATATTGGAGGACTATGAGCTTGACTTTTTCCAACTCCAGACAAAGATCTTCAGGGCAACATCCCTCGACTTTATCAACTAGATCCTTCAGATTCTGTATATTCACATTGTTTACCTTCAACACCTATTTACAACAATAAAACCACAAGTTTCTCATTCTCAATAGAATCAAATAATAGTGTTTGGGATAAAATCAGAAATATCAAAAAAAAAACAATAAAAAAATTACCAGAAAATGTTCAAAACACTTGTATCCTTGGTTGATGTCATGTGTCATCACCTATAACAAATGAAAAATTCGTTTTCATACGATTGAATTTTCAAAAAATTGTATTTGGGATAAAGAATAACAAACCTGAGAAATTATAACAAGTGTTTCCTTAGCTAAGTCCATTTCATAAAAAGCACCTTTGGTAAGAAGCTCTTCATCAACAGTGTAGGATGGAGTGAAATGAACAAATACAAAGCCTCCAAATATGTAGTAACTTGGAAGGCTGTAGTATTCTTACACTTAAAAGACTTGGTTTTACCTATATACAATAGATAAACACAAAGTCAGTTTACACAAAATGTTTACTATAAACAATTTATAAAAGAATACAATCAATGACTTACCGACTTTAGCAATATTGTACTCATGCTCTTTACCATCTCTTAAAACTTTGATTAAGACTGTTTCACGGGGTTTCTTCAGAGAAACCAAGTGACTGAAATATACACGATGGTTGTTTTCCAAAGGAACTACATAAAAAAAAACTTGGTTACTAAGTAAAGTGGAGAACAATCTATGCAATAATGTTTAGTACAATTGTCTCATCATTTCCAATTCGACCACCATCAATAGCTAGAAGGACGTCAAACTTTTTAAGAATTCCATGAGCCATCGAGGAGGAGCAGATCTCGTTAATAAGGACTCCTGTCATTTTAGGGGCCATTCCAAAATACATCCAAAGTTGAATATTCATCATAGGTTGACATGACAAACCTAGTGAGCCAAAAACTACATGTTGGTCACTTTCTTCACCGCTGCATAGAAAATGCCTAATTATTGGGACTGGTATCACAAACCTGCAC